AAATGGCAGTAGTGTTTGTTGTCAGTGACATCCACATTTTCCTTCCTCAAACCAAAGCCTCCAATTGAAACCAGGTAAAATGAACTCTCAAAGGACAAGCAAGGGGAGATGTGTGTGTGTGTGTGTGTGTGTGTGTGTACACACACATATATATATATGCATACATACACACATACATATAGCTGTGTGTTGTGTTTACTTTTAAATCACAGAAAAGCAGACACAAAAAGCTAGTGGTTCTTCCCCCTTCCCCAAATCACCTTACTTCAGATGGATCCAAGGATGGATCCAAAGGCTCTTGTTTCTAACCATGTCATCTTATTCTATTAAAGTTTCATTTGACTGATCTAATTTTATTTCTCCCAAACACCTGTGGCTGACTATCTCTTTGCATTTCCCATGTCTCTATGTTTAAGGAATAAGGGCATCAATCAACTCTAGGAACCGTACAGTGAAAAGTGACCTTTCCTAGGGCAGGACTAAGATCCCAACCCCACTCTGTTTTTAGATAATTTTTCCTCTCCAATTGGGGGTACCACTATAAGCCGCTCATACATTATACTTCTAAAGGCTGAATTACTAAGGACTGGGGCCACTTTAAATCTGCCTCATTACCTAGGGTTCAACTTGAATTCAGGAGGCCTGAGTTTGGACACTAGCTGCATGATTACAGACAAGGTGTGTCATCTCTCTCAGCCTCAGTTTCCACATCTATAATTTGGCGATATTATCATACTATCAGGGTATCATAGGGAGAGTATTTTGTAAACCCAAAGGGTATCATAGGGAGAGTATTTTGTAAACCCAAAAAAGCTATGCAAGAAATGCAAGTTGCTGCTACTATCCATATTAAGAATATTTGCAGTTGACTTGCATTTTTTCCTAAGTGAAATAATTTAATTTGCCTATTAATTTTGAAGATGAAATGATATGATTTTCCCTAAAAAGTTTCCTGAGAAATTAAGTCAGAGCTGAGGAAAACTACTCATGGGACATCATCTGCTTTTCTTAAAGAATTAATAGGGAGCAAAGAAAGAATTGATAGAGTCTGAATACAGATTGAAGCATACTTTTGTACTTTATTTTTTGGGGGCTTTATTTTGGTCTAGGCTTTCTTTTACAACATAACTAATATGGAAATATGTTTTGCATGACTACACATGTATAATCTATGTCAAATTGCTTACCTTCTCAATGAGCCAGGGGGGAAGCAGGGTTGGGAAGAGAGGGAGAGAATTCAGAATTCATTTTTAAAAAAGAATGTTGAAAATTGGTTTTACATGTAATTGGGGGAAAATAAAATACAATTTTTTTTATTACAAAAAAGGATTAACAGGGAGAAAAAAGAACAAGGAAGTTCTTTACTAGCAAAATGCATACTGGCACACTGAGCATATGAAAAAAAGTTCTGGATTGACTGAAATGACCTCATTGACACTAACTCTATGACCTTGGGCCTAAGTCATCTGAGCTTTCCAAGTCTCAAGAGATCTCAGCTGAAAACAAAGATAGTTGTGTTATAGGTTCAAATGAAACAATGGGGATGCCTTTTTAGTATGAGTTGAACCAGATAACTATAGGTAGTTCCTTCCGATTCTGAAATTCTGTAATTTTTTTTCAGTCTAACCTTCCCTAAGCCTTGAATTCTGTACACAAAATGCTTTGTAAACCTTGGTTCAATTTCTTCAGCCTTCTCCATGACCACATTGCTGAATGTGAATCATTTTCATTTTTTCTTCCTTTCTGTACTTCTTCTCCAAGTTTTTATCCCTTCACATGTTATAAGGCCCTGAACTAGACCTCTATAGACAAGGACCGATAAATAAAGGACTTCAATGTGAAGATCACCACAAAATACTTCAATGAACACTATTCTCAGAGATAAACAGAGTGAAGTCTTATAGTAGCAGTATTAACCCTGCCTCCTTACTTATTCATTCAGTAGAGTACTAGTTCCTTTTGGGAAAAAGTAAAAACGAAAACAAGCACATAAACTGAAGGCAATTTTATGCAACCTGCTCATTTTGGATACCATGTCTGACCTGAGCCACCTGTTGATTGTGTAGTTTACAAACTTAAATGAATTGTTTTGCAAGTAAGCAAACCAAGCAGCATTGAAGAAGTCAATATACTGTTCCTTAGCCATATGGTTTACAAGAAATACTGAGAATAATTCAGTTCATTAAATCAAACTAGGTTTCTGCTCTGTTTAAACCTTCAGAAGGATAATTCTTCACTGTAGTGTTTTCCAAAGGACACATTGCCACAGGGGAGACATTTCAAGCTTTGCTTGCTCTTTCAGATTTCCCACTTGAAAAGGGCTTAGAATTCTAATCCTTAGTATAAAGAACTATGATCATATAGCTCAGAGTGGGAGAGAGAAAGGTAAATGGCATTACTTTTTATTAGATTGCCTACAAGGTTTTATTCAAGCTCTGCAAAGACTGTCATTGGAAAAGAAGTCTACAGATAGCATTTCTCTTTAATAATCACAATTAACTCCCCCATTAGCTAAATTCTCTTCCCAAGCAGAAAATGCCTATTTTATGTTTCTTGTGTGTTCACCACCTATACTACAGAATCACTGCTATTTAATTTTCTGTGGCAAGAAATCAAAAAACCCTTAAAGAATTGGGAGGAGAAAATAAGAGAAAGAATAGGAAGGCAAAGTAGAATCCAAGGGCACAAGGTGACCCAGAGTAGATAGGATGGATGATTTCCAGGACAGGCAAAATGAAAACCAAAAATAATAATCTGAAACAAATCCTAGTAACTAAATTCACATATAAAAAGAGGTAGGAGGGTCAATATTCTAAGGGTTCTTATTATCCAATAATAAATGTTTATTGATTGATTGATTTGACCAATATTGTTATCTCTTCTCCAAAATAAGTCTGGTCATTCTCAAAGAAAACTACACTAAACAAAAGGAGAGATGGATAACTCTGTGTGTATGGAACCACATATAAATAAGTTACTGAACTATCACAGAAATTCATTAGCTCAAATCAAATTGGAAAAAAATATCAACATTCAAAATTTAAAATACTGACTTATTCAAGATTTCTCTATAGGAATAGTGGTATTTGTTTATACTGGAAAAGCATGAACAGTATGTTCTTTTCATGATTTCCATTAAGCAACTCATTGTAAAGATAAGCCCAGAAGATGAAAACAAGATTTAATGTTAAATGATAAATATAAAAGTCTGGTGAAGTCCTATTAGAATAGGATTGATACTCAAAACAGAGTCTGGTGAAGTAAACTAAGAGCCTCCAAAAAGGCTGTATTCCTATGTTGTCCTCCCAGCACAATATGTAGAACTGCTGTAGCAAACTCAGGGAGGGCATGGATCAGAGCTGCCTCAGAGGATGGCAATCATGGATGGATAATAACTAATTAGATTGCCATAGTTGGAATGAAATGACATTGATGAGATCCCAAATTCATTGTATCTACTACTGATAACTACTGATAACCTGAAAAGGTGACCAGGATTCATTAGAGGACTAGAGATTGTACCCAACTGTGATGGGTGAAATGAACTAATGATGTTTAGCCAAGAAAGCCAAAAAAAGTAAAAAAATAAAAGAGTGGGGACAAACAGATCCCAGTATTTGAAGGGATGTCATGTGTAAGAGGATTTAAACTTCATTGTTTGGCCAGCAAACTTAGAACAAGGAGAAAATGTTAAAGGGCAGATTTTGGCTCAATATAAGGAAAAGGTTTTTTAACAATTATATGAGTTCCAAAGTAGAATAATGTGATATATGAGGTAGTATGAAAGTATATATGAAATGCAGTAGCTTGAACTTAGATACATCTTCAAAAGATCAATTAGTAAACATTTATTAAGCACCTGCTATGTGCCAGGAATATGCTAAGTGCTAGGGATACAAAAAGAGGCAAAAAGACAGTTCCTGTTCTTGAGAAGCTCACAAATCATGGAATCCTTTTGCAGAGTGTTGTTGTTTGGTCAAACTGCTTCTGTAATTTCACTGCACATTCTCAGCAGAAAAGAATAAAAGATCTAACCTAGGCAAACATTTTTAGAATTTTACCTATACTAAAGTTATCAAGGTGAAAACAATAATCCAAAAGTCTATGAAGATTATAAATTTAAATGTTCTTTTTTACCTTGTATTTAAAAAATCAATCAGCAAAAATAAGTTTGTGTGTTCTTCCAATGTAAAAAAAAAAATGCTTTTGCACACTTGAGGAATAAATTTCCTTGTTACCTAGGTTAGCTTGTGCAGAGGTGAAATTGGCTTAACTGGAATAGAGCTTTGTCTCAGGGTGATGAAATCCTCCTTGCAGTGACCAGAGTTACTGCATCTCATTGTTCAGTCATCTTCCCTCCCACAATCAGTGCCATATCTTTTTCCCTAATCCCCTATGAGGACAAAGACTAGACTGCCCCATTTCCTAGTGCTCATGATTGAACTTACCCCTGAACTACTACCATCCCTCCCCTTGAAATTATTTTGCTTTTAGTAATAAAAAAAATCCCAGTTATGAATCTGCCTTTCTGTGAGCTCTTACACTTCTTTCCTAGTTCTGTACTATAGCACAGTGCAAAAGAAAGAGCCCAGAATTCAAAACTAGAGGACATGGATTTGAATTCTAACTCTGATATTTGTGACCTATACGACTCTGGCCAAGTCAATTTCCATTTTTGTACCCCAGTTTCCTAATTTATAAAAGGAGGGAACTGGACTAGATGACTCTAGTGTGTCATATCTTAATAATAGATGCATCATTTTAGTAAATATCCACACCAAAACTCCTGTCTAGGGAGATGATTTTTGCTCTATTCTGTTGTTATTTTCATTAGAAAAGCTTAAAGCAAAGATATTGATTTAAATGAAAACAAAATCAAGTTTAGTTGTTTAAATTCATGAAACTATAATATTTAGGTGGCAAAATCAGCTTTCCAATCCATACTGAATAATGCACTGTGATCCTCCCTCAGTACAGGAAAGTAAGAAAAATTTAAATACCTGTGAAGTTTGAGAGTCACAGTTCCATAAACAGTAGCAAAACCCAGAAGACGAACCCATCTTAGAAGGATGCAGCGAAATGTGCTTGGCTCAAAATACAAAATGATAACCTGTGAGATAAAGAAAGAAAGAAAGTAACAGACCTTTAACATCAATTTGTAATGGAAGAAAAAAGCTGGTGGTCTGGACACAGGAATCAATTAACCATGACATAATGTATTAGATAAGATTCAGCAATTAAAATCAATAGTACTTTAAGCTCAAATCTTATATGCAGCTATCAAGATAATTTTTTTCAAGCATCATTTTAATCATTCACTCCCTTGTTCAAGAAGCTGTAGTGGCTCCTTATTGCCTATCAGTTCACATCTAAGCCCCCAAGTTTAGCAAAGGTCTTCCAGCAATTCTCTGGAGCAGGAGAGTAAATAGAAGAAGCATTGGACCTGAACTAGACTTTGAATCTAGAGAGATACATTTCCAAATCTGGCCTCTTACATTTATTATTTATGTGTCTAGGGACAAGTCACTTAGCCTCTAGGCCTCAGTTTTTTCATCTACAATGGGAATGTAATAATAATAATAATAATATTAACAACAGTTCCATTGCTTGGAATGAAGTTGGCATTTAATAAATGCTTATTGCTTGTTTACTTAATTATCTCATAGGGTAGTAATGATGATGAAATGAGATAATATTATGTGAAGTTCTTTCCAACCTTAAAACATGATACAGATATCAGCTATAATTGTTATCATCTGTATATGTGTGAGACAGACATACAGAGTGGGAGAGACAGAGAAGAGACAGAGACAGAGAGATCATTATGTGCCTGCCACTGTGCTAAGTTCTATAAATCAATGCTCAAGGATGTATAACTTTATTAATTTGGGTACACCATCCATCAAATACCAATAGATCATAACATGTCTATAACTTGGTACAGGATCTTTGAAATTTTTCATGATTACATTGTGATGAGCCTCCTTCGGGCTATCTGGAATTTACTTAGACAATAGACTTAGAGTTTATTATCAGTCCCATGCTAGGTGCTCTAAGAGATACAAATTAAGTTGAAGGCATAGTTCTTACCTTCAAAGTAATTTCAGTATAACTGAAAAGACAAGTTATATGTATTATCTATGAAAACCTTATAAAGCAACATAAAAGTTGTTGACTGACTAAGGGTACTGTGTGCAATATATACAATATGTCCCCATAAAATAGTTGAAGGGTCACAGAATTGAGAAACTATCCTGAGGAATAATCAATCTGTGTGTGTGTGTGTGTGTGTGTGTGTGTGTGTGTGTATACACATATATATAATATCTATATGTAGATATAGATATAGATAGATATAGATATAGGTATAGATATAGATATAGATGTAGATATAGATATAGATGTAGACATAGGCATGTTTATATCTATATACCTATATTTACGTCTCTATCTATCTTTATATCTATATCTATCTGTATTTACCTATATCAATACCTACATGTTTTGTCTGTATGTTAATGATGGGATAAAAGATAGAGTATCAATCTTAAAGTCAGAAGGGCCTAAGTTCAATTCTTGCTTCTGAAATGTACTAGTTGTGTGACCAAAGGAAAGTCATTTAACTACTTAGTGTCTCAAGAAATTCTGTAATATAAACTGCAGAGGAGTTGCCAATCTGCAGCAATGGATGTAGATTCCATACCTCTCAACTACTTTTTTAAAAAAATGCTGAAAAGACAAGTTTTCTTTTAATTAAAAAAAAAATTTTAGTAGTGCTTTAGCACTTTTAGATTTAAAGAGAGAGAAATTCCTCCCCTTCATATCTTAGATCCTTGACATGTTTCTACCATTCTCCCACCCAGATTCTTTTTTTAATTACATTTTTACAAAAATTACTTAACAAACATCTATGGATTACCCTCATTCTACGAGAGGTCCATTGTAATAATGTATAACCCAAGTCCCAATATCCATTGGTATGGGACTCTCTCCACATTGATAGAGATCAATGTCCAACGTCCATGGGAAGGGTTTGGTCGAGCAGAAGGGAGGAGAGATTTATTTGGGTTCTTTGGTCTCCAGTTTCTTCAGGTTCTTCTGGCTTCCAGGTTTAAGAGAGAAGGACAATTCTAACTTTTGAGAAGAAGGCAACATGAGAGGAGCTGGAAGTCTCCCCTATGTCCCTATTCCCAGCTTGCTACACTAAACACTTCAGGGAATTTCCCCTTTGGGTGAGATCTTGGACTTTCTTCATTGAGTTGATATACCTTGCTCCCAATGGGAGAGGTCTTTCACTCTGTATTGTCTAGAGTATATACTTACATACATGTGTACGCACACACACACACACACACATATTCTCATATGTATACTTTCTCTGATTTTTCTATTTTTTATATAAATGGATATGGGTAAAATACTGGATATTAATATTCACAATGTGTATCCATTAAGATACTATTATTAGGTGGTAAGGAAGTCGAGCCTTGCATATAGAACTTGGGGTTCTCCCTTTCTCCATTAATAAACAGTAATTAGTAATTAGCTTGAATCTTAACATTATGTCCCTTAGATGAGTAATATTTAAAGGAGCAAAGAGATAGAATTCTATCCCACTACCCTCTCTCTGAAGAGTGCAGAGTGGCCAGCCTGTCTGGCCCCAACCTCCATCCTCCTTTCAGGAATTGAAATCTCCCTTGGAGAGATCTCCATATTGGTTGAGGCTGCATCTGCAAGCCATACATGGTATCTCATGCTATATATGGAGAAACAGCCTTGTTACAGAAATAAAACAAGCAAAACTAACAATGCAGTAATCTCATCTGAAATGTAAGATTCCACATCTGTAGGACCCCTCACCTCTCTACTCTTAATTGCTTTTGGATGAACAGAAATGTATTTCTCTTTCCTTCCCTACCTTCCACCCCTGTTCAGATCCTTATACCTTCAGCAATTATGTCTCAAAAAGGCCCATTTTCCCTATCCAACTCAATTTCTTCACCACTCTGAACCCAGTGAGGTTTGTTCCCATCTATGGTTTGCTGTATCTGGAATGGCTTCTGCTAGTTAGCTCTCTGGTTCTACATTTGCCTTCCCTAGAAAACCTTCCCAACTGATCCCTGGTCATGTAATTTGCCCTCAGGCTATTTACAGACAGTTTGAGAATAGATAGAGCCCTCCCTATAGTTTTATGTTGCTTTGCATGTATTCCCTGGATATTTTGTGTAGAGTAGGTATGTCATGTCTCCCAACTAGACTGATAGCTTTTTGAAGACAAGAACAGTACCTTCATCTTCATTGTGTCCCCTTACGGTCTATAATGCAGTCAACATTTAATAGATGCTCCTTGGTTAAATAAATGTTGAACAAAAGCCCCTGGTTAGTTTGATAGCAATGCTTTGAGTTGGAGACAACTGTAAAATGACTCAACAAAAAAAAATTTCCCCAATTCTATTTTATTTATCTCAATATACATACTCCTGATATTCAAACAATTCAAAAATAATTGTCAGCCCTTTAGTAGAGAGAGTGTATTTTCTGCTATGCCAACTTCTAGACCACTCTGTTTAGGATTCAATCCCTGGCTGCTCCCCTGCCCTAGGGGAAATATGTAGATATTTGCAAGGGGAAGAGGGTGAAGGTGTGTGACACTAGTTATTTTATGGACAGCTAGGTGGCACAATGGATAGAGTGTCAGGCCTGAAATCGGGAAGACTAATCTTCCAGATTTTAAATCTGGCCTCAGACACTTACTAGCTGTGTGACCCTGTGTGAGTCACTTAACCTTGTTTGCCTCAGTTTTCTCATCTGTAAAATGAGCTGGAGAAGGAAATTCCTTTGCTAATAAAACTCCAAATGGAATCACAGAGTTGAACACAACAGAAATGACTGAACAACAAAAAGCTATTTTACAGATGAAGCTATTCCCTTGAGTACAAGGACACTCCGTGAATGACATTCCTAGTAATTCTGTTATATATCATTTTCCCTTAATTTGTCTAGAGATAGTCTATCAAAGATGTTGGCATTAATCCCAGAATTAAATGTACAAGAGTGGAGGAGAAAGACTTGGGAAACCTATAGGTAGAGCTCACAAAAGAAGATAAAAGACTAGGCACTGAGCATAAGAAACTGACAATCACTCCATTAACAAGCATTTATTAGGCATCTGCCCAAAGTTGCCTTTGTGTATTCCTCTTTCAGTCTCAGTTCTCTCATCTGTAAAGTGGGAATAATGATGGCACTTATCTCTCAGGATTGTTGTGAGGATCTAATAAAGTAACACAAGTGAAGTGTTTTATAAACCTTAAAGTGCTCTTTAAATGCTAAGTAATATTATATTAACATATTGGATAATATATAAATCTATACAATAGGTCATGTTAATCTGTGTGATCTAGTAGTTATACATTACTTTACATTATGTTATATTAATCATATTATACTATACTATATTGCATTATATTGCATTTCAATATATTTTGTTATATTTTATGTTAATCATATATCAATTACCTAGATTAATATAGATTAATATAACATTATTACATAATCATTTTGTTGTTGTTGAGTCATTTAGTTGTGTCTGACTCTTTGTGACTGCATGGACTAAACTGTTTGTGGGGTTTTCTTGGTAAAGATTTGCCATTTCCTTCTCCAGTGAATTAAGGCAAACAGAGGTTAAATTGACTTGTCCAGAGTCATACAGCTAGTAAGAGTCTGAGGCCAGAATATCATTGTTATCATTCCTCAAATGGAATATAAGCTCCTACAGGGCAAGACGAGTTGTGTTTTAGCCTTCCTTTTATCCCCTCTAATGCCTTGCACAATGATGTGGCCCCATAAGTATTTTTAAGAAGTAATTTAGATTTCAATTAATTCAATAAAGGGAAAGCTATTTGTATGAATACCTTGGATTTGAGGGTCATTATTTGGGATCATCCTATGAGGGTCTAACTGCTCAGCTAGTATAAGTACATTGCCACTTTGAGGCCACAGAAGTAGTTTTCCAGGGAAAGAAAAAAATATTTGTCTTTCAAACTCATTACATTGGATGACAGAGTTGGGACAACTTTGTGAAGCTTTGCAAAAAGTTAAATGAGAGGCAGG